TCTCCTTCTGCTGATCTGACTTTTTTCCTCAAGAATTTGCAATTTCATAATGAGAAAGTGCACAAGTCGCCTTTCCGTAATTTCTTGCTAGTGATGAACACAGAACACTTAATAGTCATTGACCTTTGGAGACGGGTGAAGGTTAGATATTAGACCTTGTTTTTTGTATAGAAAGAACTGTTGCCTTTTGGTTGCAACACTCATTTTGTTTTGGCTGAATCTCTGCCCCTCTATATCAGTGGTCCCCAACCTCGGGCCTCCAGATGTTCTTGAATCCTGGCCAGCAGAGTTGGTGGTTTAATGGGAAAAGATTCAGTTCCCTGTATATCTTTGAATGCATTTTTTTTTTTTAAAAAAACTGATAATTGCCAGATGCCTCCAATGGCTAACAAGTGTATGTGGACATTTTCAAAAGGTATGGAGTGGAGGATGCAAAATTGCATTCCGCTTTATCCTATGTAAATCCCAAAATTCAATCTGTAATTCTGTAAAACAAACCTGAATGGCAGGAATTCTCACATAGCTCTAGTGGAATCCATCTCGCCTGGATAAACAAACACCAGAAAAACTCTGCTTCCAGAGAGAACCAGCACCAAATTTACATAGCCGAACACATTTGTTCAGAATTCAAGTGAGAAGGAGCTAACAAAGATGTTCGCATTGAAACATGAAATGGACAAATATTTGTGGTTGTAGTTTCAAGAGGGAGACTACGACAGAAATGTCCCCCAAATTTTAGCTTCTGTTTAGAATGCTAATGTTAACATTTTAATTAATATTTAGGAGGCAGGCAGGGTAGTGGGTCTTGCAGATTTCGCTATATCCAGTTTACTTCCCCCTGATCTCATAGTTCTAGCACTGAGAAATAACAGTATAGTATGTGCCATCCAAATCATTTAGCTGCCTTGCCTTTATAGCAAAGTTTGTAGTGCTATTGGCAATCAGCTTAGGAGACTTGTCCAATGTAGTCAGTGTTACAGTGTAGTTGAGGACATTTTCTGGCAGTTGACTTGGTTCCCTTCTCTTCCTTAGGTCAGTCTCAGCTAAAGCTAATGAAGAATTTAGGTAATTCAGTAGCCCCACTATGAACATACCATTTAACTTTTCCCATTTGAAAATAGGGAATATCCCACACAGGCACATGGCTAATATTTCTACTAGACTACTGAAATGGAATCAGAAAGTGAGATTTCAAGGTATGTAGAACTTCAGACCGGATATTGTCCTAGGTTTTCCAATGTCTAGTCTGATGAAGAGTTCTGCAGAGTCAAGAGCTCACCTTTTTGATGATAATTCAATAAAGGTATTACTGAATTTTTGATCTCTTACGAAAGATCTCTGATCTGCCTTTCCCCTGTTAGAGGTTGCTGTAGGCCACATGCCTTCTGTTGTATCTTCATTGACTCCACCATTGCTTCTCCTCCTCTACTGTAATTGAAAAGACAGGGCATCTTCTCTTCAGGTTACTGGTATGCTAGATAGAATCTGCAGTCTTATGATAGTGCAATTGAAAATGTGCCTCTCCAATGTTCAAGATGATGTGCAGTGCACTTCATGCTACTTTTGTGTTTTATGTGTGTGGATTTATCTCTTTCTGTATTATAAAGATATAAACCCTCATTTCTCTCATCCATGCAGAGGAAAATAAGAGATCGAAACATTTTTCTTCCCTTCAAGGGCAGTGTGAGTTCTCTGCTGCTCTTCGCCATGCCCTTTCATTTGCAAGGGTGAGATTTTGCATCCAACATGTACAACTACACAAAAAAGTCTGCACAAAACTGGGGCAATTGTCCTTAGATTCATGGGAATCTAATAATTTTAAACCTTGGATTTGCTTTGGTTTTCTTCACAATCATCTGTATGTGTCTTCACAAAAAAGAAAGTATGCTAGTTTTGCACATATCTATACAAATTATAAAGACCTTGAGGAGAAAAAACCCAGCTTCTTGTTTTGTTCTCACCTGGGATTAAGAATTTCTTGGGGCTTTCAAAATACCCATTGAGATGTCTTGTTGAGTCAAGAAAATCTAACAAGATGAGGACAATGAATTTAGTGAGCATTCTTCACAAGCACTTACTACACAGAAGATGCATATACTTCGCAGTATACTTCTAAACATGTTTACTTCAACATTAAACTTCAGTGTTTTATAAGAGACCTACTGTACTAAAAAGCAAAACCAAAGCATGCTGCTTCTATACCGCCCCATAGTGCTTCAAGCACTCTCTGAGCAGTTTACAAGTTAATTATGCAGGCTACACAGTGGCCTCCCCCCCAGCAAGCTGGGTATTCATTTTACCAACCTCGGAAGGATAGAAGGCTGAGTCAACCTTGAGCCGCTACCTGGGATTGAACCCCAGGTCATGAGCACAGTTTTGGCTGCAGTACAGTGGTTTAACCACTGTGCCACGAGGCTCCTACTGTATAAAAAGCATATAGGATTGCAGCCTTGCAGAGGATTAATTCAATTTATGGCTCAGACATGCCTTTATCTTCCTCGCACATGCCTTTATCTTCCTAAAAGACAAATTCTGTGATACACTGTATGACTAGTTAGTAAATTAAAACTCAGTTTAGGAGCAGTTGTTGTATTTGATGTAGCTGTGTTGATTTTTTTAATCATTATTTTTAAGACATGGGTATAATAAGAGACTGTAATCAGACTTTATGCCATGAAATCAATTCTGGTTACCGAGCCCTTGCTCTCTTACTCTCTCATTAATTATTTGTTAATACAGCATGTGATTATATTAACCACATTTGCGACATCACCCTCAAAGTCGTGCTCAACATTTGTTCATTAAGAAGATACAGTGTCTCCAAAGAAGAGAAATATACATTGAGAAATTTGAGCATGACATATCCACACCATTCTAGCAACAGTTAGTAGGGACAGAATATAATGGTTGAATTACATAAGTCAAGATCAACTTCAATACTTTGATGTCCAAATTCAGAAGAACTGGAGCCTTTGTAAACCACTCCTCACCTCTAGTTAAAGTCTCCTGTTACCATTTTGAGTCATTCTAGGAGAAGCAACCCTGAAAATAAATTCTAGAATAGGAAACATAGACATGGAAAAGACAGATCAATTGCCCTAGTGTATTTTCTGAATGGTATATAATCAATATACTTTAGATATACGAACCACACCACACTGCTGACTTAAATAATTGTTAGGAATCATGTACATCAGAAAAATCAAATTAGAAAGGTAGACTGTAGAGTTTTATTATTGATTGTTTGGCTGTTTTCTATAGTATACTGCAGGCTTACAGACAAAAGGCATGGGAATGCACTTCCAGATTCACCTTTCTACACAAAACACACTACTATGATTCAAAAAAAAGGAGAAATGTAAGAAAGAAGCATAGCTTGAGTGCCTTGAAAAATGATTTCATTTTCCCCCACATCAGAATTTTTTAAACCTCAAATTTCTTATACATCAGATTTGAAGACAGGTATAAATTTTGGTTAATTATTCAAAAGTAAACTGAAATGAAATTCCCCCCAACTGTATCAGCTAACGTTGGCTGAATCCTGTTGCTGTGATTTATGCTGTGTAAGGCTGGTGACATCAGCAGTAGTGGTGATTTTTTTTAAAAAAATAACTATTTCCAACATCTGTGCTGAAGTTCCTAACACCTTCCCCCATATAATCCTTTTCATCTTCAGGAATTCATGGAAGCCGTGGAATGGGAGGAGAAAGTCTTTAATTATCAAACATCATTCCCAATGACAGGTACAGCTCTTCCCAGAAGATAAAGGACCACATATACTGCACTATGGCCATTTACAGAAAAAAGAGGTGGTGATGTCAATTCAACATCAACATGGTTGAATATATAGGGATTCCAGCCCAGATTTTTAACAGCTCAAGCAGTCAAAACTTTGGATTTGGCTAAATGTTTTCTCCTCTATCTAGTCCATTAAAAAAAAAACCCTTTCATCCCTATCATCCTAAACATGAAGAAATGTGCAATATTTTGTCCGTTGTTATAAAATGGAAAAAAATGCCCACATTCGTAGATTTCAGAGGGAGAATCTCTGCCAAATATCTTCATTCCATACTTATCAAATCTAAAGGAATTGTTGCCTAGGTGGTCATTGTACATTACTTCTCATTAAAAGACTCATCCACTATGGGTTTTATATGACACTAGGGCCATGAGAGGGGAGAGGGAGAATGTGGAATGTGGAAGTGTCCAAAATTGGGCATCAGAGAGGATCTGGAAAGTTTGTATTACTAGGTCAGATCAAATAGAGGAATCATAACAGATAAAACATTTTCTGACTACATCATCAAACGCAAAAGCTGTCTTGGGTGCAGTTGCTTTTCCGTAGCTGTTTCCTGCACATGCTCAGTTACTACTTTGGAACTTTTCACTTGGAGCTGTAGAAGAATAGCCTGTTTTATTATTTGGTGAGACTCATTATACATATATACCCTCTGTGTATCAGTCATTCTCCTGCTTTCAAAAGCAATAACGTTTATTGTTAGATTACTAAACTTCATTCTGTGTTTTGTTTTGCAATGTTCAGCCAGTTAGGGCTTTCCTCTCAGAAGATATGAATAAGATTACAAACATCTCATACTGTACATGCTATGTGCCTTTTCAGTAAAGCAAATATATGAGCAGATCCATAGATCTAAAACTGATGTCTGATAGTAAACAGATTAGGAATAAGTGAACATCTGTCATATTTATTATTAGAATGTGATGTTTCACTTTGTGTATTAAGAAAAAGTATTTATAGAATTAAAGAAGCTTTTCACACATCATCAAAGAAATAGAGCAATTATTATCAGCTTTGATTATACTTAACCACTGATTAAAGTGACTATTAGAGACATGCTGTAGGGTGTGTTTCAAATGGAAATGCATTTATTCTATTAGTAACTCAAAATATCAGAATTATGAATATGTAACATTAATTAATACTTTATTTAATTATGAAATCAACAATACTTAAGGAAAGGGATAGCAATTAAGGAATATTGTTTTTAAAATTTTATTTTTGAAAGACAGATTATACAACACATTTTCTTGGAGTAGAAATATTACTCATTCAGTGTACAATATATGTCCAAACACTAGCAATACTATTCATTCAATGGAATCAATGATTGGCTGAAACCCTGTTACCTAGTTTCATGCTGGCACAGCATGAACATCATAAGTCTGGGAGGCAAATTTCTCCAAATTTTCAGTTGAATGCTGAATTGTATGATGCAGCATACAATTGATAATATCTATAGTGATTTCTTAAACAGGGGCGATTTGCTTCCAAAAGTTTTGTGATTTGAATAGCTCTGCAAGAGGATTTTGGCCATAATTTTGGAATCCTAAATAAAGTATTATTCTCCTCCAGTAGGGAGATTGGATTACACAGCAAATGTCACATTTTCACAATCAAATATGAACTTGACATACTGGTGAAAAACCATTTCTCTATTGGGAAAATATTTAAAATATGTAAAGGGGGAAAATACATATTTCATATCAATCAAGGAACTGAGATAGATAAAAGACTCAGCTACAATACAGCTTCTAGGAAGATGAGCTTTCAAAATCAAGACAAATTGATCCACCATGTGATTTTTAAAAATCCATTTGGATTTACAATAATGAAAAAGATATCTTGCTTGCATCAACTCTGTACAGTTGGCAGTCCTTTATTAGCTGAGGAATGTTTCCACCCCTTACCTACATGCAAAACCCTAGATATGGCAGCCTGTTTTCTATCCAGGTACAATAGGTCATTCCTCCTTATTCCAGAGAGGGTGGCGTTCTGGAGGAAGCTCAGGCTGCAACTTCTGCCAGCGCCCTGGAGGCCAGAGTATATGCGTAGCACGGGCATGTAAAAGTCCAAGAGAGACCTGAAAAGATAATCAAGACAGAATGTAATAAAATGCGAGAAGAAAAGGCTTAGGGAGAGGATGGCAGATGACATATTAGAAATGTGTGAACTAATGATACCCACTGAGATGCAGCACTGCATTAGCAGTTGGGATTAAATCCCCACCCCCCTTAGCGGTAAATTCATTTTAGACAACCTCTTCCCTGTTCAGCGTTGAAATAAAAAGAAGCTTCTCAAACCACAGTGAGGCTAAAGGACTGTGATTATGATACGGAAGGTGAAACAGAAATAAAAAAGCAAACTGTATAAAATTTTAACGGCTAACTCCATATAAAAATTGACTACTTAAATAAAACACCATAAAAGATGATGACTTGAAACAGTCCCTTCAGAGACTTGTGGGACAAAGACCTATGTGCACTATAGTGTTTTGCATAAAGACCTTTTGCATGTACAGGATCAGCCATCACTTTCAAGTAAGGAGCCATTTTTTTGCACGCAAAGCAAAGCACGCAGAGACCAGCCTCTGTTTAAATGATCACAGCATTCTTATTAGAGTGTATGTCATGTGCTCACATCCATAGCTCTGTCCTTGCAACAACCTATATACACTTCTCCCTTCAACAACACTGAAATTAGGGGCACTGGACCCCCATGTAGTTCAAAATCTGTATATAACTCTTATGCCCCCCCCAAAGTGACTACAAAGGATAAACAGTTGATTCACAGACATACACAGAGAGAGAACGGATGAGTTTACTCTATTAACTGTATGTACTGGATGATGTGTGATCCAGACATCTTGGTTTGTGGGGTCCAAGTAATAGGAATAGCAATTTTGTTGGGAAAAAGTCTCATTGCCACAAACTATAAATTGGCCTCTTCATATAAAGCAAACAACATTTGGAGCATGTTAGAGTCTTTGTTCCTCCTCTTACCATCACCTATGCTTTTTTGAAATACAAAAGTTAAATGCTAGTTCTACACCATTTTCTTTTGGAAGAACTATTATTGGCAAATCTTCACTTCATTTTCCACAGAGAATGCATTCGTTACATTGCCTATTATTCCACAGTCAGAAATAATTTCAATCAAGTCATGCTGGAGATTGAAGTAGATTATTCTTGTGATTTTTGTCCCTTTTGCATGTGCTTTTCAGATGATACTCACTCTCTGAGCAAACATGCCTGTGGATATTATAGCTAGCACTCACGTGCATCTGCTAAGAAACTTCCAATTCTAGCCCATCCTATATTTAGCTGCTTCAATGACAATATAAATATTGGCTTTAGCAATACTTCTCTAACTAGCTGAAGTGTGCCATTCCACAAATTGCTTTTATTTTTAAAGGAAGAAAACATTTATAGTTTGCAGTGGAACTGCCTGCCTCCAAGAAGGCTAAATATTGTGTTAATACAAGGGTCACCAGCTAGCAATGTTTCCAAATGTGGAACACAATAATCTCACAGGAGGTAAATCGAACTGTGAGCAGGCCATGTTCTTTCAAGCCAGAAGTACATAAGATCTCGGTGTTGTTGCAGTCCATGGGCCTCTCATGCCCTGCTATAACTCTGAGGGGAAAATGGCTAAGAAACAATGTTTGCCATTCTTGGAAGCCTTCAGCAACAGCAATTCTCCATTTAAGCATGGTTCAGTCTCTCCTGTCAAGTCCCCAAAAGCAGTTTTCCAGAAGTAGGTAGGTAGGAAGGAAGGAAGGAAGGAAGGAAGGAAGGAAGGAAGGAAGGAAGGAAGGAAGGAAGGAAGGAAGGAAGAAAGAAAGAAAGAAAGAAAGAAAGAAAGAAAGAAAGAAAGAAAGAAAGAAAGAAAGAAAGAAAGAAAGAAAGAACCTGAAAGTGAATTCTGCTTATGAACAGCAGAAAACCTTCTTAACCAAAAAAAGCACACTCTTTTTCAATGAGAACATGATATACCTTGTTTTTAAAAAGGTTTTATTAACATAAGTCTATAATCTTATATTTGAGAACTTAACAATCCCGCTGAGTATGAATTAATTTGTAGGCTAGATGGCAGACACGGTACCTCAATTAAGAGGTCATGTTTTAAAGTTAAACCTTTTCTATATGGCTTTAGATCAGAGGCCTCTGGCAGCCATGTGCAATTTGGGGAGAAAAAAGTGTCCAAATATTTGAGGGCTATTTTCCCATAAATGGGCTACACTGTTGAGACTGTATTTAAAAAAAACAAAAACAAAATTTAGCTATGGGCCTTCACAATTCATATTGCATGATGTAGGCCGGGAAGCCTTCAGCCATTTCCCATTCGTCAATACCATAGAGGAATTTTAAAAGCAGGCTGTTCAGATTTTTATGCAAATAGCCATCAACCACTCCCCTAGGAATATCTCTAGCTAATTCTCATGATTTAATTTCCCAGGAATCATGTGTATGCACCAATCTTTTTCTCTTTTACATAATCAAATCAGTGAAGTTGAAGTGGCCTGTATCTAATTCAATATTTTGTAGCTTGATTAAACAGGTGCTGAATTACTTGAATATAATTTGGTTAGTTAACAATGCAGACTATTGATAGTAGGTCATTTCTTTTGCTGGTTTTATACATCTGTCTTCCTGAAATGTTATCACTTAGCTGGCATGGTAGATTTGGAGATGAGTACACCTATATGCTATAAAGTGATTACATCACAAACCTAAATATTCCCATTGGTTTAGGTTCCTCACAACACTGAAATGATCCATATTGTGTGATGACGTGAGAGCACAATAGTCCGTAAGTATTGTCTAGAATAAAATACATATTCTCATGTGTGATACAGAAGATGTGATTCTTGTATATGTAGCATATATTTAACTTGCATACATTTAAAGTAGAAATTGACTAATTACTAGAGTTAAAGTTAATCTTAGTGCTCCTTAGAGTAAATCCACTGAAATGAATCAGAATGAAGTCAGTTTTAATAAGTTCCATTCACTGCAACTGGTCTGATCTAACACTGAAATCAGAAGATGTGTCCTACTGCTTCTAGGAGCTGTTCTCTCTCTCTCCCTACTCAGCTATTAACTACTGTATATATATTTGCAGTCACTGTAGATTAGATGGCAGTGCTCTAGCCCGGCCCCCTCATTTCTGGTGTTGTCAAGTTTCCTATACAAGGGAAACAACAAGTCAGAAGAGGAAGAGCCTCTGCATTCTGTCAGAACTCTCCGTGTGAGTCTGAGCATTGGAAAACCAGCGGATGAGATTCAGGATAATCCCAACCTTCACTGCCACTGGATCAGGCTGTTAACTTCAACCTATTGAGTGTCTGGTTCAACACAAATGGCTGCAATTCAACCTAGAATCTGGAGTTTGGCCAAAGCAAATGCCATACCCTAATGACCAAAGTTCTAGACATCTCAGAGGTTTCAAAGAGCAATAGGACTATAGTGGAAGAAGGTAGACACTGTAGAAGGACACAGAAACTTTCATTATGATGGCGAAGAAACCTACTTACTCGTTTATATCTCTCTGTGTGTTTCTCAAAACATTGGTTTGGCCTTTCAGTCCACTATGTTCTAGGTTATGGTGTGGCTGGAATCCAAACTGGTGTTTCTGTTAAGAGCTTGGTACATCTGGTCTCTGATCTGAAGACAAATTTTCTGGGAGCTAAACTAGATGAGCACATGTTGAAGAATATCCTACCTATTTTTGCTGATCAGAGCAATGTCTGAAAGTGATTTTCATTTTCCCTTTATCTCCCAGGCAAAAGAAGATGATGGCTATATGACGGTGAGAATGCAGGACAGAACTACTGTAGATCTGCTTTGAACAGGCTAAGTGGTGAACATGTAATACAACCTAAGAGTGCATTACTGGAGAAAAAATGGAAAACATGATTGTAAACTGCAAACAATGACCAGCACTCTGGTTACAACAATAATTGACTTGCAGATGGGAACCTGCTGGATCATATTAGACCTTTGAGAAAACTTATTAACAATGGATTATAATTTCTATTGTACATGCAACACAACTTTAAAGAAAAATTCAATTAACAGATTCCTTCCTTGAAAAGAAACCATAGACTGTGATAGTATATGTCTTTGCAAAGTATGAAGAAGAAAAAACAATAAAAGCATCAAGTAATGACAGATTGGCTCAATTATTAATAAAGAAGCTGAGAACAAGTAGTTAGGCATTCCTAAGAATAATTTTTGTCCTATAAGCATTTAACTAGCAGTCTGACTATAGCAATAACAAATCAGGTTACACATGAAAACCTGACTGGTCCAATTAGAACATTTGGAATTTGGGTGGATCTACAAATACGGAGTACACTTGCTGAGGACCAGGTGTGTGAATTTTATTACCAGATCTAAATGAAAACAGTCACATGTGAACAGAAAAAGGCAACACAATGTCTTCCAGACCTTGAAAGCCTGATCATTGCTCATACCAAATGCTGTTCTGTGCCATCAAGTCAGAATTGATTTATAGTGACTCTAACAAGGCTTTCAAGGTGAATGAGATATTTAAGGAGTACCTTTGCCAGTTCTACAGACCTCTGTGAGCTTCCATGGTCAAACAAGGATTGGAACTCAGGCCTCCTAAGTCCTTGGCTGTCACTCTATCCAATACGTCACCCTGGTACCATATAAAATACTACACAAAATTAATTTGCCATGTTGCTAGAACTGGATTGCTCACTTTGGTGTCATCCAGATATGTTTAATTACAAATCCCATCAACCCCTCCAGTCAGCATTGTCAAAAGTTAAGCTACACACACCCCACTCATTTCTCCTGTACCCATTACCACAGTAAGTCAAGCAATTTCAGAATCAAAAACGGTGGTAACTTCTCATACTTTCTGTGTGTGTAAAAATAAGAAGCAAATCTTCTGATCTCTTCTAGTTCACATCAAACACAGTTTAAATTAAAAATAAATACTGAGTTGCTTTAAAAATTAAACAAGGTTTTATTTATCTTGATGAATGACTTCTTTTTTATCATTATTTTTGCTAGATGCTACAGAATTTAACAACAGACCACAGAATAGCAG